TGTTTTAATAAAGAAATAAAATCCATGTGCAAAAATGGGAATAAAGTCATGCTATTCTTTCAACACAGCAGACATTATAACTTTTTGTTCCCACTTGAGCACATTCACAGGCACGCATGTACTACAGATGGCAGTTTGAAACCCACTTTGATCCCTTCTGCCAGGTAAATGTAGCCATGGAGGTGCATCTGACCTAACTAGCACAGTAGCTCCTCGAAGAGGCCTCAGCAAAGATGGACGTCGTTTCAGAGGAGACAAACTCCACGATGATGCTGCGAATTTAGCCATAGCCGCCAGCCTCGAGCTGCTGCAGGACATCCGCTTAGCTGCAGGGGACAATGACTTTCTGAGGTATGACGGTCAAATTTTAAACATGTCTTAATCTTGTGCATAAGGAAGGATTCCGATAGTTGTACTGCAGGATAAAAAATGAACAGTCCCTTGTGCTTTTTCACAGAATGATGGGAATTGCCCGCTCCTCTGTCGTGTGCTTTGTTATTGACACCACCGGCAGCATGAAAGACGACATCGCTCAAGCCAGGGCAACTGTTTATGAAATCATTGACAGCAAAAAAGGAACACAGGACGAGCCCTCTGAATACATCCTGGTGCCCTTCAATGACCCCAGTATGATCTCTTCCATCTTACTGATCATGTTAGGAAACTGTATTTGGTGCTTGATGATGCACTATTTCAAATGTGATGCAAAGTAGCTAATTGTGGTGCAAACAAGGGTACTTTGAAATGTTCTCTGCCTCACACAAAAACAAGACTTACATAAATGTAAACTATAAAGTCTTTTGTCAGTGCTTTAAGCTGAAGGACAATGTGTCCGTCCACACAGCATAGGTGGCAGGACAAGTCAGAGGTGGTTTTGAACTGTTGCTCCATGAACCTTCCTTACTGACCTGCACTGTCTGATTTCTATACGTTCACAAAACTGAAATGTGTGGTTGCCATTTTCAGAGTGATGATGAAGTCATCCATACTGTTAAGGAGAATCTGAAGGCTCAAATGGGACCTTTTCCGTTAAGGAATAGCAAAGCTTGAACATCAGTGAAACGATTGGATTTGAGGTTAACGGAAACTATGTTAAAATATAATGCGAGAGTAATCTTTCTCCGGTGACGTTTTCTGGTGAGGCAAAGAACTTTGTAAAATACCCTTGTGCACTAAATCTGGACTAGAAAAAAAACAAAGAAAAATACTTTCTTGATGCTTATCTTCTGTTTGTGCTTACATGTAGGTTTTGGACCAATGATCAGGACAACAGACCCTGATGAGATGAAAGACAAAATCTCAAAGCTCAACATAACTGGTGGTGGTGATACACCTGAGATGTGCCTGTCAGGACTTCAGGTACTACAATTAACTGTGACATCTTCAAATTTTATCTGGGATTGTGATTGGTCAGGGCAGTCAATTTTCAAAAATGGATCTTTCAAAGATTGCAATCTTTTATTTCTCCAGCTGGCTCTCACTGGTGCCCCTTCCTCGTCTCAAATCTATGTTTTCACTGATGCTCCACCCAAAGACATCGAACTCATAGGCACTATCTTTGCTCTCATGGGAAGCACCAAATCAACGGTAAATGTCAATGATCAATGTTCACTTACCCATCTTTGGTGCAGAGGTTGGTGGTATAAACTCTCCATTAACTGATCTCCACAGGTGACATTCTTTGTCACCGGAGCTGGCAGGAGGCGTCGCCGTTCTCTTAAACCTGGTTCCTTTAGTGACTACATAGAATTAGCTCTGGCCTCTGGTGGCCAGGCCATCCAGGTATCCAAGAGAGAGCTGCCTCTCGCCACAGATATTATCCTTGACACCTCGACTTCAGCTCTGGTAAGATTCTGCAGGTCTACAAGTATATTTGATTTGAAGCATGTACCAGGACTTAAGTTAATTCATCGGTTTTGCTCTTCTTTGTTTCCCTCAGGTGACAGTTCTTCAGCGAGCAAGGAATCCTGGGAAGCAAGAGACCTTCCCCTTCAATCTGGATAAAACTTTGAGAAACGCCACCATCTACATCACAGGAACATCCATTACTTTCACGTTGACCAACCCTAGCGGTAACGTCCCAATGTTGTATAGTCAAGACCTGCTCTGTGCCTGTTTTTCTTGCTGAGAACATCATTGTGATGACTAATGATTCATTCATACTTCCAGGTTTGACCCAGAATCAGAATGAGACAAGCGGTCGACTCGCAACCATCCAGACAGTGGGAAACCTGTGGAGAATTCAAATCAACTCTGCTAGGGAGACGGGAGCCTGGAAAATCCAAATCAACTCCAACCAGCCATACACACTCAAAGTCACAGGTCAGATATTGTACATTTGCATATATAACTACATACAGTATGCTCTTCATACACAAATGTCAGAATACTCTAAAAAAATATTTCTACAGTTGTTGGTGCATTAACAGAATCAAAACCAACATCAGAAAGGGTTTGTTGCTAAGTAGGTGTACACATACACATGGACAAAATTGTTGGTACCCCTCACTTAATGAAAGAAAAACCCACAATGGTCACAGAAATAATTTGACTCTGACAAAAGTAATAATAAATAAAAATTCTATGAAAATTAACCAATGAAAATCAGACATTGCTTTTGAACCGTGGTTCAATAGAATTCTTTAAAAAAATAAACTCATGAAACAGGCCTGGACAGAAATGACTTAATATTTTGTTGTACAACCTTTTGAGGCAATCACTGTCAGAGTCAGAGTTTATGATGGGGGAAGAGGAGCAGTGTCACTGGGGGTCTCTGGTCTTGTTAAAGAGGTCCACTGCTACAGGAAAAAAAAAGCTGTTCCTGTGTTGTGAGGTTCTGGTTCTGATGGAGAACAGCTTCCTGCCACAGAGGAGGGGCTCCAGCAGTTCATGTTCAGAGTGGGAGGGATCAGCCACAATCTTCCCAGCATGCTTCAGGTACCTGGAGAGTCGATAGATTACAGTCAGTCACCGTTTTGGCAGAGCGGATGATACGCTGCAGTCTGGGCTTGTCCTTGGCTTTGGCAGCAGCATACCGGATGGTGATGAGAAGGAGGAGGTGAGGATTGACTCAGTGATGGAGGTCTAGAAATGCACCATCATTGTCTTTGGCAGGTTGAACTTCTTTAGCTGCTGCACAAAGTACATCCTCTGTTGAGCCTTCCTGATAAAGTCCTCCAGGGTGATGACAGTGCCCAGAAAGCAGCAGTGTTCCACTGTGGCGCCACAAGGTGATAAGGATGGGTGGAGCTGGATCCTTCCTCAAAGCAACAATCACCTCCACTGTCTTCATAACGTTGTGCTCCAAGTTGTTCTGCCTGCACCAGGTCGCCCAATGGTCAATTTCCTATTTGTAGGCAGACTCATCCCCACCAGACATGAGTCCTGTGAGGGTGGTGTTGTCTGCGAACTTCAGCTTGACTGACTGGTGACTGGAGGTGCAGCTGATGACGTCATTGCCGTGTATCTGTATTCATTTTGTGTGCTTATGTTTCCAGGCCAGAGTACGATTACCTTCAGCTATAACTTTGTGGAAAGATTCAAGGGACCCCACCCAGGTTATGCAGTACTTAGTGGACGTCCTGAAGCAGGTACAGTAACTGCAATAAAACAGTTTTATTGTTTCACAACAGTAGCACATCATGAACTGTGTCAGACATTTGTAGTAATTATTAATCATAAAAGTGATATCACTTGAGATTAAAACCTCTGGGATGTTTGCCAGCAAGGATTTGTGTTTTTATGGCGCAAATATCATTTTCAAAGGTGCAGTCATCAATATTTAACAAATGGTCGTTTACTTTTCCTCTTGTTCGTCTCCCTACTTTCTTTGTTTCCTTAACATGGAAACCCAGGTCAGCCAGTCACCCTGATGGTCTCAGTAATAGGTAGGAAAGGTCCGCTCTTACCAAGTGTCAGCGAAGTTGGCCTTGCAAGGATGTCTGGTCCTGAGGCTGTTACCAGTGGCAAAATGACCGACATGGGCAGCGGAGACATCCTGGTGACTTTTGACACCGTACCTGAGGGGGAGTTTGTGGTCATTCTGAAAGGAACTTTCCACAGTGAATTTCAAAGGCAGTCGACCACCCAGATGTCTGTCTCTAAAGTGAATATCCAGGTCTGTCTTTTTGCTCAGCCATTGTACTCATTCACACAGCTTTTGTTTGACTGTACAGAAACCATGAGGAAGGCAAAGGAATATCCAGATCCAGTTTATATAGACTTATATTGTAAGAGTAGTGAGCTGTTTAGTTAGAGTACAACACTGATAGCTGTCTTCTTTACCTGTTTCTCCTCCTTATCCCTTCAAGGCAGTGGTAAGTCGCACTTTGGAGCCTGGAAAAGCCTTTCAGCTGCCCTTCAGTTTGATGAGCCAGGGATCAGGTGGTTCATACTCCATCATCGCCAGAAATGACAGAGACTTCCCCATGTCTTACCCTAAGAGGTGAGAGGAAGCAGCTAAAAACTATTCTTAACAGTTACAAGGATGTTCCAGAAATTGTTTTGCATTTGGGAAGACATGCTGCTAAGCAGAGAAAACAGGGGAAACAGCTAGCCAGGCCTTCCTTCAGTGGAATAGTAACAGAATCTGTCGGCTCCTCTAAAGCTGTATCTCATTTTAACCTGTACAAAAACTGTAATGTAATAGAACATGCTATTTCTTTACTCTGAGCATTTACCAGACAACCAGTGAAGAGTCCAGAAAGTTACTGGTCCTTGCAAAGCACAAATCTGGCACCTGACCCTCTTGATAACAGCAAACTGTCATTTGCTACACTTCACTGTTTGAAGATTTAACAAACAACAACTTATTCTGGTGGAACATTTGCGTGCAAGGAGACAAGCACTGTCAATAACATGGCTAATTCACCAAAACAACAACAAAAAAATAACAAGCATGCCTGCTTATTGGATAATCCCAGTCTTTTTCCAAAATGTGCCATTTTCCACACGTAGGTGGTCTCTCAGAAGTTGTTCTTAATGCTCAGAAGGTGAGTGGAAATGTCAGACTAATAGTCTTGATGCCAACTTTCATAATACAACGCAGAAGAACAAACCCAACCCTTTGTGGTGCTGAAAGCAGGAAGCAGCAATTTCTACTTTGCATCCGTTTTCTTATTCTGAGATTCATATACTTATTTATAAATGTTGTATCAGTCATTTCTGACCACATAAAAGTTCAAAGGTGAGATCCTGTGGCAACCATAGTCTAATTCGCACACTACACATTTACTCAACCTGAAGCTGCTGCATCTTTAAATTTCTATTTTAAAAAATCCCATTCCTGTACCCTTGAAACGTATTTTTGTTCTCTCTTGACAGCCTCAACTTGACAACTGGAGTATATGCTAATGCTACACTGACCATTACACCACCTGCCAACACACCGTCAGGCACTGATACCACTCTGACTATTCAAGCCAAGTGGGACCGTGGTGCTGACTTCAATTATGCTGTCCTGAGACTGTCTGTTGTCACCAAGGTAACCAGAAACATCCTCAATTACATGTAGTTGGAAATGACTCAACAGAAGAGCTTTGGAGTGTAGCCTCAAAGACTGCAACTAAAACATTTTCTTCTCCTCTCTGTCCAGATTACAGATTTTACTCCGCCATTGTGTGAAATGGTTAGTGTTCTGACGGATGACTGCCATAGCAATATGTCTCAGTGTGAATCTTTCCACTGGCAGCTCTCAGCTAACCTCACAGACGAAAACGGGACCGGGATTGAGAGCATTACCCTGCGTAGGGGTGAAGGAAACTTATCACACACCCCACTGAGTGCTCCAGTCATCCTGGCAAACTACAACTCCTCCTGCTGCTCGCAGGTTGTCGAGTTCGTAGCTGTTGATAAAGTTGGCAACGTGGGCAGGTGCTATTATGCAATTGACCCTTCAGGTGGCCCTCCTGCTCTGACGCTGTCGCTGCCACTGTGGCTGTGCCTGCTGGTATCTGTCTTCATAGTGAGACCTTAAAGGGCTCAGGCTGGATTGTGCTGTTTCCTATGTCTGTGCTGCAACTAGATTAAATAGTCGATTTTTATGGTGATGGTTATATTTTGCTCAACGGATAATCAATGTATACTCGTCTGAAATTAAACAAAAAAAAAACTGTTGTGTTGTATGATGAACACTTTCCCTACACATTTCTGTTTTTAAGGCTAAAATAGTCTTGTTTGGAACAGATCGTTGTTTGCCTGCAAATCTGTGGCAGCAGGGAACCAGTTCTAACCTGTATGATGCACAATAATATTCCTGTAGCTTATGTTTCTTTCTGATGCTCTTAGTAAAGGCAGGATCAGACATCAATGCATAATCTGAGGGAGAAAATGTGCATTATGTCATTTTAATTCACATCTAGCATGGAAAAATATGCATGTGCAATGCCTTTACAAATGCATTTTATATTTTTATGAAAAAAAAAAAATGTTGCCCAAAGGCTCATGAACACTAAGCAGTTTCTTGACATTATTACTGTTTTTTTTTTTTTGTTTGTTTGTTTTTTTTGTTTTTTTGCTCCTGTCATATTTTTACTTATTGTGGGATAATTTTTCACTGCAATTAAAAGTCCTACAACACTATGGAAACAGCACAACCGTGACTAAAAGGAGACAGAATTTAAAAATATGTTTTTAGATTAAAAAAAAAACAAAAAAAACAAACATATTTGTACCCCATCTACTCTGTGTACACACAGCCTGCAGTTTAACCCAGTTTAGACAAATAGTCCCTGAATTTTTGGCATATGACTGTTGGTAGCAGCTGAGTCACTCATGATTTCTAAGTTTTGATGAAAAATCACAGTTTTAAGTTTAGATTTGGTTACGTTTTCCAACAGAATTAGCATAAAATAAATGAGCGGAAAAACACTGCTAGGAAGTTGGAAATCAGATGATTTCCTCTGTTTTTATCGTCTCGCTCTGATAATCGTTTTTTCAGAAGAAAACATGCCTCATAAGCCCAGTGAGCTTTGGTGTCCAAAGGGCTAACCTGTGGTTCACACCCTCCTGGCTTCTGAAACCCAATGACATTCAAAGTAAACAGAGTAGTAGACTTTTAATGGCTACATGGACCTTGAGTCAGTCATACCTTTGGAGTGCAGAGAACTTGAGAAAAGTAGGTGTATTAGAATAGATATAACTGTATTACTGTAAAGGGACAATTGAATAAGAATGACGTACACAAACAGACATAGTGGAAACACCTCAACAACTAAAGTTCTTATACAGACATGAGCTTCACTAAATTATATATCCCTCCAGCTACTGTTTTTCCTGTAGGGCGTTGCTGATAGCTGATACGTGGCAGGATAAAGCCAGGTGGTTCACACACAGTTCCAGAGAATGATAGATTCTAAGTGCTTAGAAAATATAACTGTGGCGATGTTTCTGTGATGACATACTACAAAACAAAGTACAGCCTTCCTGTATAAACATTCCATTTTTATAATCAGAGCAACAGCTCTCAAATGTGACTTTTTTGAATGCTGAAAGTATCTGTGTTTGAACGTTAAAAGGAGAAAACGTAGTTATTAGAAATAACACCATCTTCTGGTGAACACCAAGAAAAACTGTTGCCATCAGTATAAACAGTATCGTGTATCGCAAGCCAAAGATGTTGAAAGAAGTTACAATAAAACCACTCCTGTAACACATTAAACGTTAAGAGAATCATTCAATTGATTCTTGAATGTTTTGTTTTAGGGAAAGCATCTCTCATATTTCGAACACGCTGTTACTGTACAGTTATCAGGTATTGCCTCAAAAGAATCTCAATATCTCCTCCATCTGGCTTGGAGGAAGTGGTAAAGAAAGTATTTTAGATTCAGATTCAGATTCTTTGCAAGATCTTCACGCCTAGAAAACAGTCTCAAAAGTACACCAGAGAAGGAATGAGAAGTAGCATTTTTAATTACAGTTCATTATTACTAATGCATCAATATGTTAATAGTGTTTCAGTGCTAAAGTTGATGGAGACAGAGCTGGTTTACATGGTGTTTACTGTTGGGGAGTTACATCCAACAGTGCATCATATTTTGTAAGTCTATGACAAATTTATGACATGTGAAAATGTAAGTGTAAAGTAAAAACAGCTAGGAGATGAAAGTAGTGGAATAAAAAGTACAATGTTGCCCCCTAAAATGTAAAACCAAGCATGAAATGGAAATGCTCAAGTACAACAAGTTAAAGTCACAGTTAAGCAGCAGTTAACTGATGTTTTTCTGTTTGCTTTTTTACCCCTGGTCTTATCAAATACCAGTTCTCACATCTTTCATGGCCGGCACACCTAATAAGGTGTTATTGTTTTGGATTAAGTCCGGTTTTCGCATTATTATGTATTATACATCACTTGGTGTATCGTCTAATCTTGTGTGTATAACAAACATCAAGTGACCTCTGTCTGAATGGCAGAATCACTTCACTTTAATGGACTGATGAGAAACCAACAATGTTGTGTTTCCCATGTCTTTAGTGGCAAAAATAGGAATTGCCTTGGCACTGAACACAGACATTCAGCTGATAAAAGCTCTTCTTATGTTCTAAATACTTAGAAAAGCGTTTCTAGTTCAGTTCCATGTTTGTCATTCCTTCTCTCCACTCAGATTTTTATCTTCTTGTTGATGTTTTCTCACACTTCATTGCTCTTTCGTCTTCTGCTTATCTTACCTGCAGCCCATCCCATTTCTTACTTTCATTCGAACTCACTTTTCAACGTGTTTCACTGCCTTTTTTTTTTTTTTTTTTTTTTTAAAGCCCCTTTACAACTCAGTATATGCTTACCCTCTGTCCCACTGCATATGCTTTCCTCCCTCATTGTACTTTGGACCAGCAGATCTCAGAAATAGATGGGATGTGGTTCATTAGTTGTTGTGATTTTTAAGGCAGGGCAATAAGCTCTTTTTCCAGGGAACTAAATCTTACGGGGGTTTTTGCCATGACTGGATTCATGGTTGGAAGAAGTTACAGAAAGATGCCTAAAAGAATGCTTGAATGGTTTTTGGAGAATATAAACATTGAGTGTCAGCAACAGTCACATCACCATGAATGTTCTTTCAAGATAAAATGACTAAATCTGTCCATCATCCAATTTGGCAAGATAAGAAAATGTTGCAACGAGTTAGCTGGAAGATGTTTCAAGACAATTAAATGTAATACTGTAAGTCTTGATGAATGAAATCCAAGAAAGAGAATTCATGAGAAATGATGACACACAGAGAAAGTCTTTAGAAAAACACACAACCACACTGACACAAAAATATGGATTACTTGCTAACACATGTTTAAATAAAAGTCTTTGGCAGTCAAGATGAGGAGAAAACTAGTTAGTGCAACTCCAGCCTTTTAACATTTAAGACTATAATCCATTCCAGCTCCCTGTAAAACTTTGATTAAGTCATGTACACACATGGACAAAATTGTGGATATCCCTAGGTTAATAAAAAAAAAACCCACAACGGTCAAAGAAATAACTTGAATCTGACAAAAGTAAAAATAAATAAAAATTCTATGAAAATTAACCAATGAAAATCAGACATTGCTTTTGAACCGTGGTTTAACAGAATTATTAAAAAAAAATAAACTCATGAAACAGGTCTGGACAAAAATGATGGTACCCTAACCTTAATATTTTGTTGCACAACCTTTTGAGGCAATCACTGCAATCAAACGATTTCTGTAACTGTCAATGAGACTTCACCTCTCAGCAGCCAGTCTGGCTTTTTTATAATTTGTTTTCAACAATGGTGTCCTCCTTGGTCATCTCCCATGAAGTCCACTTTGGCTCAAACACAGACGGATGGTTCGATCTGACACTGATGTACCTTGACCTTGGAGTTCACCTTTAATGTCTTTAGAGGTTGTTCTGGGCTCTTTTGTTACCATTCCTATTATCCGTCTCTTGGATTTGTCATCAATTGTTCTCCTGCGGCCACGTCCAGGGAGGTTGGCTACAGTCCCATGGATCTTAAATGTCTGAATAATATGTGCAACTGTAGTCACAGGAACATCAAGCTGCTTGGAGATGGTCTGATAGCCTTTACCTTTAACATGCTTGTCTATAATTGTCTTCCTAACCTCCTGAGACAGCTCTCTCCTTCGTTTCCTCTGGTCCATGTTTAGTGTGGTACACACCATGTCACCAAACAGCACAGTGACTACTTGTAACCCTATAAATAGGCCGACGGACTGATTGTTTGTAGACACCTGTGATGCTGATCAGAGGACACACTTTGATTGAACATGTCCCTATGGTCACATTATTTTCACTCTTTTCTAGGGGTACCATCATTTTTGTCCAGGTCTGTTTCATGAGTTTATTTTTTAAAATAATTCTGTTAAACCACGGTTCAAAAGCAATGTCTGATTTTCATTGGTTAATTTTCATAGAATTTTTATTTATTATTACTTTTGTCAGATTCAAGTTATTTCTGTGACCATTCTGGGTTTTCCTTTCATTAACTGAGGGGTACCAACAATTTTGTCCATGTGTGTATATATCCTGGATACAGTTTTGAGGGACAGCAATGAAACAGAAGTGCAAGTAAAAGGTAATAAATACTACCAGTTCACTTATCAATAGGCTTGTATAAAGTAGATTTTCCTGTATTAATGATTTTACATAGTGCCCCTGAGAGTCATTACCCTCCACTCCTCCAACTTGAGAGGTGAGAAAAATGTACATCTAGAACATTCTGTCTTAAGTTGCCCCACCTTTGTTTGACCCTTGAAATGAGTTCATTTTTTGTGTTCAGTACATTCTTTATTTCCCTATGTGTCATGGCACATTATTACGGTAATGTGCGAAACGTTGTCAAGGTGTAACCACAGGATAAATGTGATTATGACATTGTGACTATACTGATAAGTTTTTATGAGGAGAAAACCCTTGGAATCAGATTACAGCCGTGTATGTAGCCACCCTCCTAGACAAAGACTGTATATATTAAGGGGCAGCTGGAACCACAGGTCACACTTCTTTAAGAGTCACTGGAGTCTTCACAGCGGGGAAACATTAAGGTATGACTGTATTTCAGAGTAGAACTTTATTCATTTTAGTGAAAATAATTATTTTTCTTTCACATTACTTATTGGATTTTTGGTGATTCCTATCCAATCTATTTATTTAAGACTTTTGACTTTTTCATGATGATAAAACTATTACAAAATAAAAATTTTAAGTGTACAACAAGCTCTATATTTTATAAGATGGTGCATTTCTTCAGGGAAACATAATCAGTATGTAAAAGAAGCTTTCTTTTTTCACTTAAAGTTTTAAAACAAATTTAAAATGTGCAAAATTTCCAGCGTTGTTTAAAATATATTATATTAGTTACATTATTATTCGTAGGAGCTTCAGTAGAAATCAACTGGGCTTCTCTTGGAGTGTCAAAAACCCATCCTCTATTTAGAGAGGAATTACCTGTAAGAAAAGCCCAGTTAATTTCTACTGAAGCTCCTACAGCTACCATGAACTGGTTTACTGAGAATCTACCCAAGCTTAAATTACTATTGTATGTCCCGCTCATTCATTTTATTTTTTTATTTTTTAATTTTTTGTGACAAATCTTTTGGTCCACTATTTACAAAGTCTCTGTCATTGAGAAATCTATGTGTACAATAAATAAAGTGCGAAAATATGGTTAACTGGGAGTGGAGTAACAGCACAAAGTGTTCACTAAGTGTGTGTTTCTACCTATTGTACAACTTACAGTACAAACTCTCATTTTGTGGAAGAGCACCATCAGGGGATGTCGAGGGCAAAGGCTGTCAAACTCCTATGTGTAATATATGTTGTTATTGAAGTACTGTGTTTTTTTGTTTGTTTTTACTCTCATTCTTCTTTAGTGGTCATTTGAAATTATTCTTATTACTGATCTTTAAAGGTTCAAATTTTCTGATTATGATGTGTATTCTTGTGTACTTTCCAGGAACATTTGTCAATATATGCAGATATATAACAGTAACCAACTGAACTAAATTAAAATTTGTTGAATGGTATTTAACCAGTGTGACAGCTTATAATAAAATTACAATCTTTCTTTGCAGGCTTTCTGCAGATTGACCATGACATCAATTCTGGGCATAGCCCTGCTAGCTTTGACTCTTTCACGCTCAACTGTGGCCTTTGTCCCCATCGGGGGTGGGGCATCCACTCATGTCAGCATTACAGGAACGGCTCTATTGCAAAAAGTGACGGAGACATGTCGGGCGGTGGCTGAGGCAGCCGGTCATGAGTTCAAACCCACGGTAAGGTGGAAGATAAAGAATTTGCAAGACAACACAAACATAGTGAGCTTTTACCAAAGACCGATATACTACAGTGGCTGACGGGCAAATGACGTGCATATACACAAACTACCTGCATATACTGTGTTGCATGAACAGAAACATGCTGCAAAAGAGAAACGCTGCATATACAGATGTGCTGTGTAAATGAAAACAAATGCAAAAAGAAAACACTGCATATCCAGTCACAAAACAGAAGTGCTACAGGCCTCAGTGGTGAGCTTTTCACCTGAGAGGCAGATAACGGTGAGCGAGACAAGTTCCGTTAGTTGAGGGAAAAGCTGTATGAAAAGATATTCATTGTCTCGTCTCCATGAATAAACATAAATAAAAGAGAGAACACAGGGAGACGGTAGTAAAACACCACTTCAGCACCCATATAATCACAGTGACTGAAAAGCTAAAGACTTAAAAACTGTGCAGAGAAATAGAGATGAGTCAGGGTGATTTTACACAGTAAAAGTCTCATAAGCCTTCAAATGTTGATGAATAAATGTCAACCTTGTGGTAATTCTATTTTAATTTCAGTAATATTAGAGTTGGCTCCATACAAACGTTGCTCCATTGCGAAAGCAAACAGTCTCTTTTGGACATTTGTTCTTGTTTAGATAATGCATTGTCTTACTATTCTTCGTGTCTGTCACTATAATTGTGACCTCTCATCCTTTACCTTCAGGGTTCCTCTCCTGAAGAGCTGGTCCAGGCCTGTCTCGGTCCCACAGCAACAGGAGAGGTGTCTGGTGCCAAGTTTCATTCTGCCCTTCAAGAGATCTACATGCAGAATGGACTGGTTGACCGGGACTTCGTCAACAGGTAAAGTTGGAGGAAATACAAACAAACAAACAAACAAACAAACAATCAATCTATATGTATATCTGTATCATTTATACATTGTATTACACACTCACCGGTCACTGTATTAGGCTCTTCTTGCCAGTACCGCGTTGGGCCCCTTTTGCCTTCAGAACTACCTTAATTCTTGGTGGCATCGATCAAACAAGGTGCTGGAAACATTCCTCAGAGATTTTGGTACATATTGACATGTTAGCATTACGCAGTTGCAGCAGATTTGTCGGCTCCACATCCATGATGTCAATATCCCGTTCGACCACATCCTGAAGGTTCTCTATTTGATTGTGATCTGTGGAGATCACTGGAGAACATTGAACTCATTATGATGTTTGATAAAAACAAGTCTAAGGTGATTTGAGCTTTGTGACATGGTGCATTATAATGCTGGAAGTAGCTCATAGAGGATGGGTTCACTGTGGTCATAAAAGGATGGACACTGTCAGCAACAATAAAGAGGTAGGTGGTGGCATTTAAACAGTGCTCAGTTGGAACTAAGAGGCCCAAAGTGTGCTAAGAAAATATCCCCAGCACCATTACACCACCACCACCACCAGCCTGACCCTTTGATACAAGACAGGATGGATCCATGTTTCATGTTGTCTATGCCAAATTCTGACCCTAACATCTGACTACTGCAGCAGAAATTGAGATCAGGCTATATTTTTCCAATCTTTCATGGTCCAATTTTAGTGAGCCTGTGCGAATTGTAACCTAAGTTTCCTATTCTTAGCTGACAAAAGTGGCACCTGCTGTGGTTTTCTGCTGCTGTAGCCCATCTGCTTCTGTTGTGCGTTCAGAAATCGTCTTCTGCATGCGTCAGTTGTATCATGTGGTTATTTCAGTTACTGTTTCTGTTTTATCATTTTGAATCAGTCGGGCCATTCTCCTCTGACCTCTGGCATCAACAAGGCCCTGAAAACTGCTGCTCACCTGATATTTTGTCTTTTTCTGAACATTCTCTGTCTACCCTAGAGATGGTTGTGTGTGAGAATCTCAATAGATCAGCAGTTTCTGAATTAGTCAGACCAGCCTGTCAGGCACCAACAACTATGCCATGTTCAAAGACATTTACATGACTTTTTTTTTCTCATTCTGGAGCTCAGTTTAAACTTCAGCAGGCCTTGTTGACCATGTCTGCATGCTTAAGTGTCTGCACTGAGTTGCTGAAATGGCCAATTAGATACTTACATTAACAAAGAGTTGAACGAGTGTAGCAAAAAAAAAAGAAAGTGGCCAGTGAGTGTATATATGCATGTGTGACAAAGCTACAGATATGGTTTACTCTTACATGTGAAATATTCTCTCAGTGCTCCACATCACTTCAACTCTGAGGCCTTCATGGAGGGACGCAGCCTAATCACGGAGGGTGTGGCGGCTATTAAGGCCAACATTCGCAAAGAGAACTTCCAGGCAGCCAGGGAGACTCTGGGTAGAGTCCTTCATACACTACAGGTGACTAACAACTGGAGTTAGAACAAACAGAATGATGGAGGTTAAAGGATGTAAAAAGAAAGACTTGCATAACATGTATGTTTCCATACATTGTCAGGACTTCTACAGTCACACTAACTGGGTGGAGCTGGGCTACACAGAGCCATACAACAACCTTATGCGCCAAGACCTTCCTCTGGAAAACCTGGCAGGTGAGTGTGTTTTATTGCCACTGTCTCACAGGAGGACAAATACACACAGCATATATTTCTGTGGGTTGGGTAAAATGTCATAAAGTAGACAACACTGTCTGGGACTCTATCTGTAGATCAAAGAGCAGAGATTATTTTATGCTATGTGCATGGATTCTGATTGGTTGGTGGGTGTGGCGTCTTTCCAAATAACTGCTCTGAAGAATTTATCTAATCAAAGATGTAAATTAATAAAAACTAAACTAAGTGAGTGACTGGGCGACAACTTCAAAAGGTTGTGTAAATTGTGACATTTATTTTACAGCTGTTTGCCTTTTGCTTCTCTAGCTAAGGACACTGCCACCTGCAGTGACTGTGCCAGTGGAACATGCCCTAATCCAATCCTCCCCAACATCCTCAAAGAGAAGACGCTCACATCAGGATACATGGGAATCTTCTCCGCTGACAAACCGAAAGGTAACATATCTCACAGTATAATCCTGCAATTTGGGTCAATTGGATCGAATTACAAAAACAGGCTAGTTTATTGCAATCAGAGTCACTAACATCAGTTCCAACTTAAACAAAAAATGGAGTGATGGAGTGTGCTATCAGTAAATAATCAAAACTACATACAGTATAAAGCTGTTTTTTTCCTATATAAAACCATTAAAACTACCACTCACGCAACAGTAAACCATAAAGGTCCATTTTTATTGTGTCAAAGGAGTGATCACAGGAGCAAAAATAAAACTGTTCTGCATACTCCTTTCAATAACTGAGGTGATCTCACCTTGACTGGCCAAATTGTGCCTGGGTTTAAATATTCCCCTCCTAGATTAAACACATTTCAAAAACCATATTTAATACACAGAGCCACATTCATTCAGAGCAACAAGGAACACAATGCAAATTGAAAAGCCAACAGTAACAGTTATGCACTCTGCAGATACCACCAAATTAAAGAAATACAGTTTTAAATGCCCTCAAGGAGACAATTACCCTCCACAGTTTTTCACAATAAACAACCCATCACTACTTTGATATAAGCCTTGACAAAGCGTTGCAGAAAAGAAAACAGGTAAAACCACATTATAAGTGTTCCAGATGCTGTTATTAAGCCGATAATATCTAAAATCACAACTATCTGTTTTCCCCTGTTTTCAGTCTGTATGCTAAGCTAAGCTTCATTTAACACTGACAGATATGAGAAAGTGTCAATTTTCTCATCTGATTCTCAGCAAGAAATGCAGATAACAGTTTGAAACTCAGCTTCATCTCTTCTGCCAGGAAAATGTAGCCATGGAGGTGCATCTGACCTAACTAGCACAGCAGCTCCTCGAGGAGGCATCAGCAAAGACGAACGTCGTGCGGACAACGTGGCCCTCCACAATGCTGCTGTGAATGTAGCCACAGCCGCCAGCCTCGAGCTGCTGCAGGACATCCGCTTCGCTGCAGGGGACAATGACTTTCTGAGGTATGACGGTCAAATTTTAAACATGTCTTAATCTTGTGCATGAGGAAGGATTGTGAAAGTTGTACTGCAGGATAAAAAATGAACAGTCCCTTGTGCTTTTTCACAGAATGATGGGAATTGCCCGCTCCTCTGTCGTGTGCTTTGTTATTGACACCACCGGCAGCATGAAAGACGACATCGCTCAAGCCAGGGCAGTTGTTTATGAAATCATTGACAGCAAAAAAGGAACACAGGACGAGCCCTCTGAATACATCCTGGTGCCCTTCAATGACCCCAGTATGATCTCTTCCATCTTACTGATCATGTTAGAAAAACGAAACCGGGTAACTCCCATTTTGGGCATAACTATAGAGTCCTGACTTGATAATTCGACCCTTAACAATCCGAAAACCTTGCTATCCGACAGGTTTTTAGAAAAACGAATGGAACCCATAAAAAATAGCCTTAACATACCAACAGCCCTGGATTCCGACTCTGACATGACATTTTACACAGCAGATCGCATACAAGTCGCATGTCAGTAAACATGGATGGTGACGGTGGAGCGTATCTGCCACTCGCCCTCCGCCGCCACCGATGGTGGAAACAGAACTGTGACCGCGAACTAAACTGGCACCAGCAGCCAAGCACTGCCTGTGTGTTCCGGCCACTTCCACCTTATCGGAGCGCACCCCCACGATGGAAGTTGCCAGAACATGCACACTCGCACAGGTCAATTAGGCGTGAAATCCAGCGATGCATAGCGTTCTAACAATACAGTAGTTATTATAATAACTATAAACAATAAATATCAACAACAAATTACCCTTCAAGCATCAAGCCCTCCTTGTATCTCGACCTCCGTCTTGACAATCCGACAGCCTTGCTATCCGACATAAAAGAAGGTTTTACATTGAGTGTTGGGTTATCAAGTCATGACTGTATACGATAAAACTTTATATCACTGTTCACAAAAACCTAAATGTTTGAAGCAATCAAATTAAACCTTTTTAATTAAAAGAGGGAAGCTTCAAGCTGGCAGGCTTTTGCTCCAGGACAATGTGTCCGTCCACACAGCACAGATGGCAGAAGCAGTCAAATGTGGCTTGGAACAGTTGCTCCATGAACCCTCCTCACCTGACCTGCACTGCCTGACCTCTATCTTTTTTCAAAACTGAAATCCATACTCTCATACGTTTGAGGAGAATCTGGAGGCTCAAGATGTGATCTTTTCGACGAAGGGGTTAACAAAGTGTGATTGTCAATGGACCAAATGCTTTGAAGTCAAAAGGAACTATGTTGAAAGACAATGCAAGAACAATCTTTCTTCCGTTACATTATCTGATGAGAAATTTTAGAAGTACCCTTGTAGACTAAATCTGCACATGAAATAAAGGATTAGTCTAAAATACTTTATAGGTGCTCAGCCCCTTTTTGTGCTTACATGTAGGTTTTGGACCAATGATCAGGACAACAGACCCTGATAAGATGAAAAGTGAAATCTCAAAGCTCACAGCATCTGGTGGTGGTGATCACCCTGAGATGTGTCTGTCAGGACTTCAGGTACTACCATGAATTGTGACATCTTCAAATTGCAACTGTGATTGTTATGGATCCTTTAAAGATGATCATCTTTTATTCCTCCAGCTGGCTCTCACTGGTGCCCCTTCATCATCCCACATCTATGTTTTCACTGACGCTACAGCCAAAGACATCAGTCTCAAGGACACTATTGTTGCTCTCATCAGGAGCACCAAATCAACGGTAAATGCTGATGATCAATGTTCGCTCACTCTACTTAGGTGCAGAGGTTGGTGGTATAAACTCTGCATTAACTGATCTCCACAGGTGTCATTCTTTATGACTGGAGCCGGCGCGAGGCGCCGCCGTTCTCTTAAAGCTGCTTCCTTTAATGACTACAAGGACTTAGCTCTGGCCTCTGGAGGCCAGGCCATCCAGGTATCAAAGCAACAGCTGCCTCTTGCCACAGATGTTATCCTTGACACCTCGACATCAGCTCTGGTAAGATTCTGCAGGTCTACAAGTATATTTGATTTAAAGCATGTACCAGGCCTCAGTGTAGTTCATCCATTTTGTTCTTTTTTCGTTTCCCACAGGTGACAGTTTATCAGCGAGCAAGGAATCCTGGGAAGCAAGAGACCTTCCCCTTCACGTTGGATGAATCTTTGAAAAATATCACCATCTACATCACAGGAACATCCATTACTTTCACGTTGACAGACCCTGCTGGTAACGTCCCAATGTAGTGCAGTTGAGACGAGTTGTGTGCCTGTTTTTCTTGTTGAGAACATCATTGTGATGACTAATGATTCATGATAAACATTCCCAGGTGTGACCCAGAATCAGAACGAGGCCAACGGTAAACTCGGGACCATCCAGACAGTGGGCAACCTGAGGAGAATTCAAATCAACTCTGAGAAGTACGCTGGAGCCTGGAAGATCCAAATCAACTCCAACCAACCATACACACTCAAAGTCACAGGTGGGATATTGTACATTTGCTCAGAGTGTCAGGATACACTTAACAAAATTAATTTTACAGCTGTTTGTGCACTAATAGGGTCAATGAGTTAATGCTATGTAACTGTATTCATTGTAAGTGCTTCCTTTTCCAGGCCAGAGTACAATTACCTTCATCTATGACTTTGTTGAAAGCTTCATGGGACCCCACCCAGGCTATGCAGTCCTCAGTGGGCGTCCAAAAGCAGGTACAGTAATACAGTAGTACAGAATGCAATAAAACCGTTTCATTGTTTCACAACAGTAGAAAATCATTGCACACGTGTGGTAATTATCAATCATACAAGTAAGGGTAGGGTTGTGATGTAGGCCTTTGGGATGTTTGCCAGTAGAGATTTGTATGGGGTTTTTTTTACTTTAAATTTAACCAGTTATAGAGTATGTTTAGACGGTTAAACAATCTTACACACCCAAACAGTAAGTAACAATCATTAGGTCTCCAATTGTGCTTGGATGACTTGTGGTTATGTTGCAAAAAATCAGAAATCAGGAGCAAACATGTAAATGGCAACTAAGTTGTTTTCTAACTGGTTAGCTCATGCAAACATAGACTGTCTTGAACAGTGATATAGTTAGTATTTATATATTAACGTTTTATTTAATTTTCCTCTTGTTCATTACCTTCTTTGCTTCCTTAATGTGGAAACCCAGGTCAGCCAGCCTCCCTCATGCTCTCAGTAATGGGCAGGAAAGGTCCGACCTCACTGAGTATCGCAGAGGTTGGCCTCGTAATGGCGTCTGGTCCTGAGGCTGTTACCAATGGCAAAATGACCGACATGGGCAACGGAGACATCCTGGTGACTGTTGACACCGTACCTGAGGGGGAGTTTGTGGTGATTCTGAAAGGAACTGACAAAGTGGCCAACACTGAATTTCAGAGGCAGTCAACCACCCAGATGTCTGTCTCCAAAGTGAATATTCAGGTCTGTCTTTTTGCTTCCCTTTCACATACTTCATACTCATTCACACAGCTTTTGTTTAACTGTCCAGAAACTATGATGAATTTTATTACATTTTATTCATATTACACCATTTTAAAGCATATGTCCTCTCATAGCACTTTGCATAGTAAGGTGAAGACCTTACAAATTTTAAACAGAGAACCCAACAAATTCGAAGTTTCGTTTGGATTCCCTTTAAGCATACACTTGGCAACAGTGGGAAGGAGATAAAAATCTCTAGAAAAAAAAAACAACCAAACAAAAAAATAAAACTGATAGAACCAGACTCAGGCAAGGCGGCCATGTGCCTCAACCATTTGGGGGTAAGGGTGATGATGAAGGCAAAGGAATACCCAGCTCCAGTTTATTACAGACTTAATAACTATACATATGCAATAATACTGAGCTGTTTTGTTGAAGTATAAGAATGATATCAGTCTTCTTTACCTGTTTCTCTTCCTTTTCCCTTCTAGACAGTAGTAGACAGCAGTATGGAGCCAGGAAAAGCCTTCGAGCTCCCCTTCAGTGTGATGACCCAGGGATCAGGTGGTTCATACTCCATCAGTGCCAGAAATGACAGAAACTTCCCCATGTCTTACCCTAAGAGGTGAGAGGAAAATGATTCAGTTCAGTGTTACCAACGCTGAAGGCATAGTTTGACATTTGGGAAGCTGCTTAGCTTTCTCATGGGAAGTTAGACGAGAAGATCAATCCCATTGTTATGTCCGTGCAGCTCAAGTTAGCTCAGTTTAACACTAACCAGGTTTAGTTTCAGTCTAATGGTAACAGAATCAGTCACTTCCTCTAAAACTGTATCTTGTTCCTTTAACCTATACAAAAACTGGAAGGTAGCACAACTATTAGACTATCACTTTGCTCTGAGCATTTGCCAGACAACAAGTGACGATTGGCTAAGATAACATCTGGCACATAACCCTCTGAAAAACAGCTAATTGTCATTTCTACGCCTCCTCTTTTGAAGATTTAATAAACAAGATGTGACATGTTAATAAGTGGCCTTTAAATGCGTTAAGTTCATTTGCTTTTTTTTTTTTTTTTTTTTTAAATCAAGCAGCTGTAATACATATCATACAGATAAAGAAATGGAACTGAATAAGCATATTTCCTAGAACTCACCATATTTGCTTAAAGCTTGGGGCAAAGTCGCATCGAGGTGGAGTAGCATGTGCAACCCCACCTAATTAGTGTAAAGGTTCGAATGAAATACACGTTTTACGACTCCACCCAAACACAGTGTCCAAACTTCAGGGCATCCAGGGGGAAATGGGCCTCTCTTAGTCTCACACAGCCAGACTTATCTCCACAGAGTTGTGTCAGCACTAGAGAATGGTTATGTCACACTTTGTTATTATTCTGCTATCGGGGGAAAAACACTCTGGCTTGTTTGCCTTTCTATAGCCTACATAATAATTGTCTTGGGTGATGCTAAGCCCAGGATGCAGTGATGATGCCATTGCAAAATAGAGTCAATTCAATTCAATTTTATTTATATAGCGCAGTTCATAGCATATGCCATCTCACAGTGCTTAACATAGTAAGGTGAAGACCTTACAAAGGTCGAGGGTAACTTTTTTTTTTCTTTTTTTGATTAAACATTTGCAGGAAAGGAGGCGAGCACGGTCAATTAAATGGATCATTCAGCAACAGAATAAAACCTGCTTTATTGCACAATCCAAATCTTGAGCCAAACTGTAGCTGTTTCACATAATAAACGGAATTTTGAATTACACAGATAGAGGAGGGAGATTAGAGTGCAAAGTAAAATGCAGAAATTGTAGGCTTATACCTGAAGTTTACATCCAGTGAGTGAGACGAGGTTCCCGTTAATAAGTTCCCCTAAAAACATGATTTTGACAATTTGGTATTTTTGCCAGTGTATTTCTTCTTCATGTATTTCTCAATGCTATGTGTTTTCTTATTCGTATATTCATATTCTCCATTGTAAATGTTGCATCTGTCATTTCTGACAATGAAAAAGCTAGAATGTGAGTTCCACTGAAAGCCATAATCTAGTTTGCATGCCACATGTGACTTAACCTGAAGATGTTACATCTTGAAATTTCCATCACAAATTCAGTTCCTGTAACTATACATTGTATTTTTCTCCTCTTTTGACAGCCTCACTTTGACAACTGGAGTATATGCTAATGAGACGCTGACTATCACGCCACCTGCCAACACACCGTCGGGCACCGATGTCACTTTGACTATTGAAGCCAAGTCATCCAGCCGTGCTGACTCCAATTATGCCGTTCTTAGACTGTCTGTTGTCACCAAGGTAACCAGAGTCATCTTCGATTACAGAGTTTTTGTTTAAAAGACGAGCTCTTGAATGTAGCCACAAAGACTGTGATGAGTGCAGATGTGTTACTATATTGACAGCTTTGTCGTAAAGACACAAAATTCCCCATCTTTCTTCTCCTCTCTGTCCAGATTACAGATTTTACTCCGCCATTGTGTGAATTGATTAGAGTGCTGCCTGCAAGCTGTCCTCAAGATATTTCCCAGTGTGAACCTTTCCACTGGCAGCTCTCAGCTAACCTCACTGACGGAAACGGGACCGGGATTGAAAGCATTATCCTGCGTCAAGGTGGAGGAGTCTTATCACACACCCCACTGAACGCTCCCGTCATCGAGGCATTCTACAACTCCTCCTGTTGCTCGGAGATCGTTGACTTCACAGCTGTTGATAAAGTTGGCAACGTGGGCAGGTGCTATTATGCAATTGACCGTTCAGGTGGCCCTCCTGCACTGACGCTGTCGCTGCCACTGTGGCTGTGCCTGCTGGTATCAGTCTTCATAGTGAGACCTTAAAGGGCTCAGGCTGGATTGTGCTGTATTTTATGTCTGTGCTGCAACTTGACTAAGTTATTTAAAACAATGTGCCTGTTTGTTATGCTCAATGAATGATGAATGTATACTTGTCTGAAATTTTAAAAAAAATAAATTTTAAAAAATGTCAAAAACTCCGCTGTATTGCATGATTGAACATTTTCTCGTGTTTATCACACATTTCAGGTTTGTGTAAACACAACCTGCAGTTCAGGCCAGTCCAGCATAATAGTTTGGGAATTTATGACTGTTGGTTCCAGGTGAGTCACTAATGACTGCCCATGGCTTTTTGAAATATCACAATTTTTCCAATTTCATATAAGAGATGAGTAGTTCAAACACCATCAGAAAATGGAAAGTCAGATGTGTCTCTGTTTTTACAGCATCTGGTTTTGATTAATGGCATGATTTCTGGTACTTTTCTAAAAGACAATAAGCCTTTCACACTCACCTGCCATGTTTTGGGGTCCAGGTGGTTAACTTATAGCTCACAGTCTGGATCTCCTGGTTTCCTAAATCCAAAAACATTGAAAGGAAATAGACTGGTAGACTTTCAATTGGTGTACGAATATTAGGTCAGCCACACCTTTGGAGTGTGGAGAGGCTGAGAATACAAATAACAGTCAGATATGAAGAGATAATTATGTTGCTGTAAATGTGACAACGGAATGAGAATGATGTACACAAAGAGACACAGTGCAGTGGACACACTTCATTCACAACAGTTCTTAAAAAGACCATCCATCCATCCATTATCTATACACCGCTTAATCCTCACTAGGGTCGCAGGGGGGGACGACACACACCCTGGACAGGTCACCAGTCTATCACAAGGCTACACAGAGAGACAGACAACTAAGCACACTCACATTCACACGTACGGACAATTTAGAATCACCAGTTAACCTCAACACTGTGGAAGGAAGCCGGAGACCCCAGAGAGAACCCGCGCTGCACGGGCAGAACGTGCAAACTCCACTCACAAAGATCCCTGGCGATCTAGCTGCGAGGCGACGGTGCTAACCACTGAACCACCTTGCAGCCCTTACAGAGACCAGAGCTTTAGTAAACTATACATCCATCCATCTACTATACCTAGTTTATCCTGTAGGAGGTTGCTCTCTCTGCTGGTGTGGGGCAAAAGGCAGGTGGCGTCGCATCACCATCACAGGGAGACAACACTCACACCTACGGCCAATTAGAATATACAGTGGTTAATTAGTAGTTAACATAGTATACAAGCTGCAGTGCTGCGACAACACAAACAAACAAAAAAGAAGTGTTTTAGAAATGCTGTACATGTTATGAATTCATTATACATGAAGCTGACCAGCAATTGCCAAAACCTTTTAAAAAATTCTCAGGAAAGTTTTTTGTTTTTTCTGGACAAATTTACATTTATTACCCGTATTCTCCAATGACAGGACCAACAAAAATATACATCTTGATTTGATAGCAACCAAATCAGTGCAAATTCAAAATATGTACAATGACATACATGAGGTTCAGAATCCTAAAAGAACGGGCCAATTGCGTTTACCATTGTTCCAGATATATAACACTTCAAACATGTCTTTAAGGGGAAAAAAAGAATTTACTAAAGCAAAACTATCTTTTGTAACACTGCACAATGCTAAACAAAATACCGAAATAAGGACAGAAAAGAATCACTGACACACCCTCTTTAGGTGTGTTCAGACTAAGCACGAGGAGAAAATTAAACACGAGTGCATTCAATGTCAAAATCTGAACAGATGTGTGTTTGCGCAAGTGAAACTAAGGTGTGTCCGCTCAAAGTGAAAATATCAACTTCAATGAAAAAAAAACTAGTGTCAAAAGTAATATTACATTCATTGGATTTACAGAAATGACGCACACACTGCAAAAACATTCTCACAATCAAATTCTTGCAAGGTGAAAATTCACCTGACGCCCATTACAGATGCGACTTTACAATCCTTGTTTGAGGTGGTAAGTTACTGTAAAAGCAGTACATTTAACTTTTATTGCCATTTGTGCAACAGCAGCAGGAAACAGCTATGTAATAAAAGAAATAGCAGTATAAATAATGTAAACTGTATCAATAACTTTCACAGTTAAAGGTGTAGCATGCCACACACATGCCAGCGAGCACTGAGCATGTTTGTGCACATTTGTACTTGTGCACAGGTCGGAGGGGAAAAAGGGAGCGAGACAGATGGTAAATCTGACGTATACTAATAAGCTAAATATAACGATCTTTCTTCTAAGTTGCAATTGAAACAGGTGCAGCAACTCCCTTGTGCTCACTATAAGGCATTCAGTAGAGATGTTGCACAAGTGCTGGCATAACAAATAAATCACTATTTATTTAGAAACAGCTGTAGCCCAGGGACTCCTCTACCATGGTGTAAACTTGTTTTTATTTAGATTATACTTTGTTAGTTCCAGACATGATGCTTTCCATCTATATGCTGTTTTCTCGCTTTCATCCTACTTCCTCGAAACAAAAATGATCTTCTGATGAAAACAACCTTTAAAAAAAAGACATTTTTTCATTTGCATTAGTTGTACATTAAAAGAAAAAAAAAAAAAAACATGTGGCCCCTCCACAGCACATAGTCTCATATTATGAGACATCATATATCTAATTTTACCAGGGTAGCATCTTTCATGTCCACCTCTCACTGGGCTTTGTGCACATTTTTAACATGCTTCTTCAGGTGGCCTGACTGTGTAAACTGTTTAGGACAGTGTGGGCAGGAATGTGGTTTCTCCCCTGTGTGGATATACTTGTGCCTTTTTAGGTTATTGAAGTCCAAAAATCCTTTTCCACAGTATGGGCACCAGTGTCTCTTCTCCCCATTATGCCATCGCAAATGCACATTCAGTTCCACTCTCCTTGTGAATTTTTTGTCACAGTGGTTGCAATGGAATGGTTTCTCTCCAGTGTGTATCCGGACGTGAACTTCCACATCTCGCTTTGTGAAGAATCCCTTGTTGCAGACCTGGCAAATGAAGGGTTTTATCTTGCTGTGCACCATCTGGAGGTGCTTGGTGAGGCCAAAACGGTAGACAAAGCCCTTCCCACAGTGCTGGCAGATATGGATCCTACCATTTCGGTGCACACGGCCATGCCGTTTAAAACTCTTGGCGTCTGGAAAACTCTTTCCACAAAGTGTGCACGAAAAAGGCCTTCGTCCTGTATGTAGACTGACATGGCTCTCCAGTGCAGCACTGCTGCTGAGGATGCGACCACATTCCCCACACTGGTTCCTCAACAAATGCCTACCAATAACCGCCAGCGGCTGTAAGGGCGAGACAATAGGGGATGTTCTGACAGGTATCAGGGGGTTGACAAAGGTTTGATTATTGGGTTTTGCCTCTGTATTTACATGCGACAGTGATGACCTCTTTTCCCCTGCTGGAGGCATTTCATCAGCTGGCACTACAGGTGGAATCCACACTTTTGCTCTGCATTTCTTCACAACCTCACACGTGGCCTGATTCTCTGTTAACTGGTGTTTCTGCAGTTTTGATTGATTAGAATTTCTCATTTTAGCTATTGTCTTAGCTTTTGCTGCTTTAGCTAGCTTGACAGAATTTAGAATTTTAAAACTCCTTCTCGGAGTTTTAGCCATTTCAGGGCCTTTAATACTTTGAAAAACAGTTTCACTGTTAGTTTTTTTTGTACTATCTGTTTTTATACTACACCTCCTAGATCTGAAAGGAGAGCTGAATTCCTTTTTAATCTGTTTAATGCCAGGACTGTCAATAGGGAAAGTGGTACGCCCTGCAGACACTGTAAGGTTTGCACCATTTTTACTATAACTAGGGGTCCTTGGATTAACAGAAGCAGATTCAGTCTTTTTAGGAGTAGCTCCTTCTCTGGTCAACCTTTTCGTGAATGTAGAGCAAGATTTTGTACTTTCAGACCTGGTACTTTCTTTAGTTGAATCACAGCTCCTCCTCCATGTGGATTTTGTGTTTTTGGAGCACAAACCATCTCTACCTGAACTAGGACTAACTTTAGTGGAGGCACTTGTAGGCTTTGACCTCCTACAACCTCCATAAGCTGGTTCAGTTCTCCTTTGACTACTGGAAGAACTGGTACTTGTGATCTGATCTAGACATGTAGTATTGTTAAACGCATCTGCCTTTTCAAAGCTGATGGGACTATGTTCCCGTGTTGTGTTTTCATCATTTAGGCAGCCATTCTCTAATCTAGGCCTCTTAGCACTTACAGTGCTGGTGTCGCGTTCTGTGTGTGCTTCTGGTTTTGCTTCAGTTCTTCTAGCTTTTGAGTGAGATTTTAGGTGACTTTGCAGTCGTGCAATAAGTGAGTCTTTCTGTAAGCTTTTCTTACAGGTGTTGGTATCTGTGAATACAACTCTGGCTTCTGCAAAGTCATCAGAAGTGGCCTGTAAGAAAATAGAAGATGAATTTAGTAAAGCATACATTACAAAGCATTACATTGCTCTTTGAAGGAGGAACACTTAAATATAAAGAAAATACAAACATGATGACAAGACTCGATGACCATCAACGCCATTTACAAAATGTAACTCTGCCTAAAGAACATAAATATTTGACACCTTCCAGACTCTCATTCAGTTTAATTAGGGCTTACATAAAATTGCCATTTAGATAACTTAAGATAGTGATTAACCATCTAGTCACTGGGGTTAGTTAGCTTTTGGTCAGCTTTTCGGCACCAACTGCATCAAGGTAAAGAAAAAGTGCAGGTATTAGTGTATTCCCATAAATTGTGTTTACCTTTGTTGTTACTTGAACTGTTGGTGACTCTGCCAGCTGTGTCAGCAACTGAGTTTTAGCTGCTGGTGACGGAAGGTCAGGTGTGTCCTTGGAAGTGCTGGAGGATAGCTGTAGTTGGGCAGCTGCTTGTTTGTCCTGCACTTCATTGCTGCTCATTTCCACAGACAAACTAGGGGTTTCAGATGACCATGCCACTTGAATATTATTTGACTCGTCTGCCATCTGGGAGGTATTTGTAGACACGGCAACAGATGTTTCTGTTAGATGGGAACAAATGCTGGAGGATAAAACTGGCACTTCTGAAAATGAGACTGTAGGTCTTGATGGCTTCTCTTGTGTTATACCGTCACAAGATCCTTTTGAAAGCAGTCTTGAGACCAAGACAGATTCTTTGGTTGATACTGGAAATGGCAGTCTGGTTAACCTGACCACTGCAGTCACTTCCTTTTCAACAGCTGGTGGTAATACTGAAAACACAGATGCTGGCACTTGTTCATCTGACATTTTTAAACTGGAGGCAGTTTGTTTGGAGGTTTTTATGCTGTCAGTTGTATCATCCATTTTTTGAGACAATACTGGCTGACGTGAAGCGGAGACATCTAACTCCTGTGACATGAAAATCAGCTGGGTCGATGACTCTGTCACAGGAGCAGCTGCTTCAGCACTCTTCTGCTTTACTGTCAAAACAGTAGCCTGTGACTGATGTTTCCTTGATGCCATGGCTGACAACCGTGTTGGAATTATAAGTATTTTGGACTGAGGTAAGGTCCCTGAGTGAAGATCTGCTGAGTTGGCGGTTGACTGTGAAGGGACATTAGGAAGAAATTTCCTGGAGGTAATATTCACTGCCTGGAGGACAGAGGAATGGGAAGATGTTTTAAGTGGTAACCCTACAACTGTAGAAGAATTCTGTTGAGCTGCTGATGCAATGGTAGAAATCTGGGTTGGAGAAACCGCTGCAATTTTTTGAGACATAAATGAAGATCTTGACTTTGGCATGATGAGAATCGCATGAGGTACTGCTTTGTTTGGTTTACTGGGAGCTACCAATGATATCGAAGGACGGGGAAACAACAGTGCTGTGGATTTAGGTGCAGCAGTTGGTTGTGACATTGGCGACATAGTAATACTGAAAGGAACGGGTGCATGCTTTTGTTTTGGCATGACAACCGCAATGTGGGCCTGAGTTTCACTGGGTGAAATGGTGTCTGTGGTGTGACGAGTTTCCACAGGAGGTGACTGTTGTGGCTTAACTGGGACCTTGTCCACTATTTGCAAGGCGGCCCCGCGTGGAACAGAACAGGTCTCAGGTTGTTCCATTCCTGATGCAGTGGTGACTGTATTTTCCACTGTCGACTGATTCATGGCTTCAACTAGCAGCATTGCATCCTGAAGGGTTACCGAGGTGCGGCAGTCTTTGAGGCCACCTGGTGGTGCTTGTGGTGACTCTGCTGGTGGGCTGTTTGGTGTTTCATTTGTAGATAAAACTACAGTGGATGGAGCCTGAATTCCAACTGAAGCAGGCAAAGAAGCAACCTCTCTGTTGTCCATATTTTCCAAAGCAGAGTTTGCTGGCGGAGTGATGATAGATGAAGTCTCTTCAGGCTGAACTGGAAATGCTTGTGAGAATACTACCTCCTCTCTTACTGAAGGGGAATTTAACCCTTTCTGTTCTCCTGAAACATCAGCTGATGATGACAGAATTGTTTGCGGTTTTGTTTTCTTTGGCGGTCGTCCTCTTCTACTGCGTACTGGCAGATTAGGCTTAGACAAAGCGTCACTTTCTGCCACGCCATGTTTTAATTCGCCATGTGTGGACTCTGCTAACTGTTTCTCTGTACGGTGCACATCTGCATATTGTTGCACAGCAACATCCGTTTGTTCATTTACTGATGTTTCACAGTCTCTGTGACACTGCTGGGGGACTGATTGGTGTTTTCCAGATATCGTGAGTTCTTCCTGCGTCCCTTTTTCTGATGTAGTCTGATCAAACTCAGACACTTCTTGGATGGTGTCCTTTATTGCAGCGAGTGAAGTAACTAGTGCAGGCTCTGGGTCAGTTGACTGGTTCTGGACTCCCTGTAATCTGCTACTCATTTGCTCCAGAACTCTGGTCTCTTCATCTTCTGTTGAACTTCCCTGCGTCACGACAGGTCCTTCATTTTCAGCTGAAGCCTGAAGTGAACCTAGAAAAAGCAGTGGCAAAGACAACAGAGAAAACATGAGAAGAAGGGAAATAAAACAAGTTCATAATTAAAGTTGAAGGCTTTATTACATCTTACAAATTATCTGTTGGAAAGTGAGTCAGTTTAAAGTCCCCACCTGCTTGTCCATAGACCACAGCGGGCTCAACGTCCTCTTGCTTGCAGACAGACCACAGAGAACAATCACTGTACGATTCCTGAATGAGCGAGGCACACAATCCCATTTTAAGAAGACAAAATTGGTAAAATAATGTATTATGCTGCAATGCTATGCACACACCTCTTGTTTAATTCCATGAGCGATATAGTTGTGCTCTTGCAAATGGTACTGCATCTGCTCGTAAGTGTATTGCTGCCCTTGGTTTTGCAGTGACTGACATTGCTCCACCAGCACTGTACGGAAAGGGACAAGGTCTGGAAACACAAAGACACAAAAAACAGGACAACTGGTCATTTTTTTAAAACTATAGTTCTGAGTCTTTAAAACAGGATTATAACTCAAGCTGTACATTTGAGAAATGTGGGATAGTATACATAATCTGTGTAGTTGCAGCTTACTGAATGCTGAGGCTGCTTGGGTTTCCCTCCATCATTTGCCATGTAAGTGATAGTATTCATATTCAAGGCTATTTTAGGTTTTTTAAAGTCCCTCTCATGGCATTGAACACACCTCTAAAATCTCATCTCTGTTTATCAAAGTTACACATTTAATTTCTTTTATTAATTACAATAAAAACAAGTGTGACTAATGAAACTGTTTATTTGCACTTGACAGATTTTTTTTGTCGCATGTGCAACCAAAATGGTCGCACTCTGGGGCCCTGCAGTCCCATTCAAGTCTATTTTGCTCATAACTACATTTGCTGTATCAAGCTGTGAGCGCCATTACAACACAACTCCCGCTGTGCTGTTGTTGAAGTGTGGAAGACACGCTCTCTATGGGGCTTTTAAAACGATCCAATCGAGCATACGGGTTCCCGAATGACACATTTTATAAATTCAAAATAAACACAATGTGTTTGAGCAAAGAACACACAGTTAGAATAATCTGAACCTTAACTGAAGGCACCCATTAATCATTCCCAGTGCTGAGAGAAAAAGTAAGTGGTTCATTGGAAGTGGCTGAATTTCTTTTGGCCTTAATAATGTCAAACAAGAGCTTTCAGTCGCTGTGGATCAGACCTGCATAATGTTCATGAAGACCTTTAGACATTTATGATTACACAACAGTTGTAGCCTGGCCATATTCTCGGAATGTCTGGTGCGAAAGGCTCAATTAGATCATAAACAGTTTTGATTTCAGACTTGAGCAAAAACTTGTCCTCGCAGTGTCATTGGTGGGAAAAATATTGCTGTAGGGTCATGAGCGAATAGAGCGTGTGAACATGATAACTAAATTGTGGCCACATCTTAGCACTACATGGCCCCAAAATATAAAATCTGTTGTTTACACCAAACGAGCTCCGTAGGGCTAATATCACACATAAATCGTTTCTCATTTTATTTTCATCTTCGGGCTGAATTATGACATCCTGTCGTCTATTGCTAAACTTTTGTATCTCTGATTAGAATTCTTAGCTGTATATCTTGATAAACAGGATTAAATGATTAAATTCAAAGCGAGGCGGTTAAAACCAGATGCAACTTTTTTTCTCCTGGCTTTTATTAATAAAAGATTGATCAGTAATTATCATGATCAAATGAAATAAACGATAGTAAACTTTTCTGCTGTGTCACTGAGTCCTCGTATGCAGTCATAACACACTCAAATTGCTGTTGTAGCAATTATTCAAAACAAGTGCAACATTCAAATTGTAGATGCTGCAGTTTTTCGTTAAAGGTAAAATGTGTCACAACATACCATTTTAAAGGAAGCATTGTGCTTGTTAAGTAAAGATGTGGGAGCAGCTGCAGAAATCACATGATCATGTTTTGTTTGTTTGTTTTGGTGCAATACAAATGCAAAAAAATTAAGTAAACACATAAAAAGCGCTGTTCCCAGTATAATCATGACTCATATTGAGATATTTGATTTTTAAAAATAACAATATGTTTTGTTTTTGTTAAGCATATCGTTCATCCCACAGTCACGAACTTGTTCCTGGAACCAAGCAGTTTGGTTTCCCTCCCATTTTGGATCCCACGCTTTAGATAACACTTTGCTAATCAGATAGCAGCACACAGGAGCTGTTGTACGTGCTTTAGTTGACATTAATGGGCATATAACTTAGAACACATCACGTAGCATCGTCAGACAGTTACACAGGTTAGGTTTACGTAGCTTAAGGTGGCTAACGGGCTTTGAACTCACCACATTGAACAGCACTGTCCCGTTTCTCAGAGCCGTCGTTTGGTCCCGAAACTGAGATGTTGTCTCTGGTGTCAGCAGCCGTTTGGCTTTTCGCACTTTCATACTGGCTACATTTTGTTTTGAGGTCTTCGTTCTCCTTCTTGATTCTGCTTATTTCTGCCTTCAGCTCGTCCACCATAGTTTCGAAAAGTTTCGTGGTTTCGGCTACGGCGCTCTTCAGCATGCCGTCCATGAAGGAGGCGTACTGCGTCTGGAAGTCATCCGCTGACATGTCGCTACGGTTTACGGCTCCTCTGGTTCTCGATACGGAGTTCTCTTTACATGAACGGCAGCGTTATTACAAAGACGGCATTAGGAGCCGCTTCAACATGGCTCCGCCACACAGACAGGCGCGCTCTCTGCTTTGTGTGACGCACATCCACTGAAGGAGGAGGCTGATATCCGATAATCCGATAAAGCTGTAGACTTTGTTGTTTTCTAGAAATTGAGTTAGTAAAGAAGCCATAAACTAGTACTTGTGTCAGGAATAAATTACCACGAACGCCCTGGGTACCACTGCTGACCAAGAAACGCCGACAGCCCCTCACTCTTCTTCTACTTCTACTTCTTCCGCGTTTTCCGCTTATTCTTCTTCTATGCTGAGATTTGCGGCATACTACACGTAGCAGAGACGCACTGCTGCCCTCCACTGGTCATTAGTTGATTTCATGTCATATGTGAATGAGAATGAGCACCTTTTTTTTTTTTTTTTTTGATAGCTTTCTGTCACTTTTCTGTTAATGTTCCTGCTGCTTCATTCAGGCATTTCCTCCACAGTGTCGGAGAGACGCGACATTTGTCATTAGACAAATTAGACAATACACCAAGTGAACTACAAACATTCTAAAACAAGAACTTGGATGGCTAATATGCTACAGATGTCTTAACTGCAAGCTCTCCCAGGCAGAGATAATATAGAATTGTAATTGATATCTGAATATTATATTTTAAAGATAATATCCCATAGAAAAATTGCAAAAGAGGTAATGTCTTTATTTGATATATAAAACCCCATCTTTAAATCATGTTAATTACAGACTCAGAATATAAACAAGGATATTAGATATACCAAATATGTATAGCCTAAACAACAGAAAAAAACCCAATTGCTAGTGATGGGACGTACTGTGCCGAGGCTTCGAATCGTCTGTCGACAAATCCAGGAAGTCCTTTATAGCACATATCAAGGCTTGCTTCATTAGGAGGCAAGTGATGTAACTGATGACAAATGAAGCCTCACTGGTTTAGGAAGTGGTTTGAGTGTTGGCATGATTTATGAACATAAAGCGCAGTGAATTGCCACAAAATGTGCATATCAGTGTTTACATTGGAGTTTTGCCAATTTGCCTTTGACATAGAGAAAATAGTTTTCATGGAGCCTAAAAGGAGAAGGGTTTCCCCTGTATGGCAACACTCTGAGCTGATCTCTCCCAATAATATACCTGTAAATAATGAACTGTGTTACTGCTATAATATTCACATGTGAAAGAGTTTTCTCCAAAGCCAGAGAAGTTATTTCCAAAAAACCAAACCTACTGTGCCCAAGCGTAGCGGAAAAACTATTGTTTCTTAATAAAAATCAACAAAGTCACTATCACCCCAGTGTTCATAAGCACAATCGCTGCCCCATCTTTTAAAAACATTGCAACAGTTTTAACATAAACATCTCATGTC